ACTGGTGTAGCCATTGTAGAGGTTGTAGATTTTGTCAGCTATCTCTGGAAAGGATCAGGGGACGGGATTAACGAACAGCCAGAAGATGCTAAGACAGGAGGAGGAGGAGGAGCGAAGCCCTTGGCAGGGCTGGCAGGAGAGGCGGGCATCTGGGACAGCTGCCAGCCCCTTGGGGATGCCTGCAGCAGGGTTTAGCAACCTGGGGAGCATTTAGCAACTCCTCAGGGTAATCCTGCAGCGAGTGCCCAGCACCAGCAGAGCTGCCCCAGGCACTACAGCAACACCCTACGCAGGAAAGCAAAAAGAAGAGGAGGAGGGCTGCCAGCACAGGCAGATGCAACGTGGTCCTCCCAGGTAGGGCAGGCAAGTTCTTCCCTAATTCACAGAACCAGGAGTAACTGCCCAGGTATGATGCTAAAGGGTAGGAAGGATACAACACTGTTGATAATAAGATGGTACTTCAGGCAGAAATGCAGCACATCATCATGGTGGGCACCTACTAGAGCCACTGAGATATATCAAACAGGAGGGTGCCCTCTCTGCTGTAGAAATTGATGCGGTTCTGGAAATGAAAAAAGCACAAAACTCCCCTCCTTTTCTCTAGTCTCCCATTTGCACATTTTTCCTGGGAATGCTTATCAATAACATGGAACAAAGCGTTAATCAAAACTGTCTTTTGTGCACCTCTCAAAGTAGAAAGCAAGAAATAAAACAGGTGACTCGCCTTTCACTTACAGGAATCTTTATAGAAAGCAGCCAAGCGCTCTGGGCCTAAGAACAAATGGGATTGAGTTCAAAACTGGAAAATGCAAATGTGCAAGAGTAGTTGGGCTTTTATTGCTGTTTCTGTTTCAGAACCAAACTAGCTGCCACCAGCACCCTTTTAAACACTCAGGTTTACTGTCGGCTGACAGTGTCCTGCACCACTCGCCGCCTCCACCCTCGCTTTTCCAGGGAATGTGGATCAAACACATGTGGTCGCTCCCCTGGCCATGCACCAGCAAGGATGCCGTGGTGCTGGGCAGCACAGGGCCACGGGAGCCACCAGTTGCCCAGCCAAGGGGACTTTGCTACTGAACACACCTGCAAGTTGTCACCTCTCCCCAGAATCAGGTCCCTGTGTCTATGGGTGAATTTACAGGAGCCTTCACACTGGGACAGAAGGGACTGGAGGGGCTTGCAGGAGGACAACGAATAAAGGGAAAGCAAAATTAGCAGGAAATGTTTTCTATCACGGAAAATGAAGCCTCTGAACACTGACCTTCTGCCTTGCTGTCATCTACCAGCGGGCAGGCTGTCCTCAGGGTGACCGTGCTCAGCTCTGAGTGTCTCCCTCGCGTATCCACTGCGTAGAGGGTAAATCTGGAAGGCAGGAAAGAAAAGGAAAATAATGTCTTTGCCCCTCAGTCATCCACCACCAGGTTGTTATGGGAAAAGGCCTCCACAAGAGAAAGAAAAAATGTGATCCAGGCTCCTATCAGTCAGTTTTGGCATCTCAAGGAGATGTGAGACGATCTCAGGCTTAGACCAGGAGAGGATCCAGGGAAAGGAGCCTGGACTAGGGGCAGAGGCTACTGCATCCCCATGTAGCACCATCAGAGCTGCATTTGCTCCTGTTGTCCCCGGGAGCCTTGCGGGGCTGTAGCCCGCAGCCACCTGACTGCAAAAGGATGCAAACATCTCTGGGTGGCTTTGCCATGCCCCAAAGCGAACACTATAACATTGTACATTTGCAAGCCAGGCTCCTCTCCGTCCCTCCTGAGAGCAGAGAAGCAATTCCTGCCATAAGTGGCCTCTGTGCTGACAAGTGACAGCTCGTACTCATCCTGTGAATGGCCCTTGAGGTTGTTTTCTCCCTCATTTCCTCACCAGGGTGGGGCTGGCAAAAGGGTGGGAATGATCATTTCACACTTGAAGCTAATGGAGAGCATCTGACAGTAAAATACGGCTTTTGTGCCAGTTGAAACATTGAATAAACAGGCCGTGGCTGCATGGGATGTCCCGGGATGCTGAGCTCAGGGTCCTGGTCAGAGTATCAAAGCTCCAAAATGAGAATGTTTTTTCACAGCAGGGGTGACAATCTTCCATCCACTCTCCCAAAAGCATCGGTTCGTACTTATTCGCTCGGAGCCAGGCACAGAAACTTGAGCTGGCTTTGACAAAGAGCAGGAGCTGGCTTGAACCCCTCCAGGGGCGGAGATGCCTGGTGGTGGGGTACCCAGCTCCCGTGAAATAACACAGCCTCGCTCATAATCCTACGGTAAAAACCAAGCAACTTTTGCAACTGAGTGCAAAGAGTACCATAAAAGCAGACAAAGCTTAAATGGGATCGAGACCTTGAGACTGGTTTACTCAAGGAATGGTCCTACCTCCCTAGCATCCTTAACAGGAGCAACGCTTCCCCCTTCCTCACCCCGCACACGAGCACGGCCAGACCCCCTCTCTCCTCCCCGCTGACCCTGCGCACCTCACATACGGCTGATAACAGCTGACTTTTGCACAGTAGCAATTCTCAGCACAGGACATATTCCTTCTGAGCAATTAGCATTAGTCCCTTAACAATACTGAAAGGATGCCAGCAGATTGCCAAGGAACCCACTTGTGCGTAGGGACAACTCCCGTTTTCACAAAACCGGGCCACGCTGAGCTCACCAAAGGATATGCTATTTAATTCTTTGCCATGACATCATTTTCCTTAATTTACAAAGGAGCATGGCTCAGAGTGGGAGCATCTTAGGAAGGACGTCCGCACTGTGCAGGTTCACAAGTACCACACACAGGCTGTTCTCCCACTATAACTAAGGGACGGCAGCAGAGCAATAGGGTAATATCAAACTCACGGCTTTGCATCCCATCCTGGAGGTGCCACCATCCCTCCTCCTCCCGTCAATAGATGAGGGGCGCACAGAGTGTCCTGCTGTGAGCAGGTAAGGCAAGTGTCTCTGCAGCCTGGCAGCATGAATCCCCATTTTTCCAGGTCCAGAAAGCAGCAACAGTGGCACTCAGTGTTGGGTGGGGGGACCTGAGCCCCAGCAAGACAAGGAACTCTGCAGTGGGAGAGAGGGGCAGAGCCCGCGGGAGTCCTGCTGCCCAGCTGGGGGTTCAGCAGCGGGCGACACGCTTCTTCCTCATCACCACAAGCACAACAAGCAGTAAGAGAGGCTTAACGTGCAGGTTACTGCTGCGAGCTGACTTCCAGCCTCATCCTGGGGTCACCTGCTTGGCCACAGTGGCCGTGGTGTTGTGTTTTGGTTTTTAAATGGATGAACGCAGCTAATGTGTCACCTCTGCTCTGCCCGTAGCGGCTCAGTCAGGAAGGCTCCATTAGCTCTGAGGCAATCGGTACCAGAGCACTTTCCTTGAAAAATGGCAGATTTCTATCAAAACACCATTGCAACATTTGGCAATTAGTGCTCACATCAACTATTCCATCACCAGCGGGGTCAGGAGGAAGCACCTCTGCTTGGCAGGGTGTTAAAGCTCATCCACCCCTTTGGGTGATGTGACAGACCGGCACGAGCCCTTGGACTGCACTTCTGCCCTCTGCTCAGCACACACAGAGACAAAGTCACTCAGCTGCCAAGAGCGAGAGCATCTGAACTGGTCAGGCCTGGGTTAAAAACATATATCAACAAGCAAACCCTTCATTTCATTTTCCCTTTCGATGATAGAAGAAAAAAACCACATCAACATGTAAATGGAAAAATGTCAGAATCAAAGTGATTTTGATCTGGTCAAAAATTGGTTTTTGAAAAAAAACCCAAACTATTAATTGCTTTACCTCGCCTGAAATCTGTCCTCTCTCGAGAGCCTTAGAGGAAAGTTTTTCATTTCCATTCACTCTGAACAAGATGTTTTGGAATCAGCATCGATAAATTGAGCTCTGGTGGAAGCTGGCAGCCCCAGCAGGACGCAGCCCTCTGCACCTCTCCAGCTCCTTCCAGCAAGTGATCTCAGAAGGTTTTAACATTAATTATGGTCCAAAAGATCACCCTGAAGCACAGCAGTATTAATAGCTCTGTTTTATCGATGGTAAACAGAGACATACAGGGTGAAGCATCGTGCCCTGGAGAGGCTCCGTGACATGAACAGTTTGGAAACTCGGGAGATGATGGTTTCCAATCTTGTTCTCAAACCACTTGACCACCCAGCCTCTCTGCGGCAAAGCACTTTTATGGCCAGTTAATGGCACTGTGCAGAGTGCTGGGGTTTATTTTTTGCTTTTATTCCCGGAAACAGACAATTAAGAGAAGAGAGTGCAAAGATCGGTGGCTCAGTGTAAACCCGGCATTAACAGGAAGATCTTGCCTGCTGTATCTAAGAGAAACCTCTGGCAGATGCAGGCAAGGAAACACAGGCAGAAATGGGACCAGCCGTCAGGGCACGAAAAGGGCAGCCGGTGGGGGGACAGGGACCACCACCACAAGCGAGGGGAGGGGATGTCTGCATGGCAAATAAAGGGAAAATCAAAGCAAGCGCCACACAGAGGTGGAGTCCAGCTCTGCAACGCTATGTGAAGATCCTCCTGCCACTCTTACATCTCTACACAGCGGTTTAGCCAAGAGCCAAGACAGGCAGCACGCCCCTGATGATGATGGAGCTGCACCTGATGATGGCAACCCTGAGAATTTGTTACAAGAAAATGAGGCTAAAGCGTGGTTCTGAGTGTTTTGCCCAAGGCAGAGGATCTCTGTGGTAGAGTCAAAGTCAGAAATGGAAAGGTCCCAGACCCACACTCAGTGCACGCAACCACGTTAGACAACCTGGAATGCCATACGGTAGCTACGGTCTGGCAGAGCCTCCTTCCTAACCTGGGGGTGTTTTGCTCACCAATAAACTTTCCCCACAATGTTTTCTTGTGTTGTCCCTGTGCTTTCCAAAGGAGCTTGGGGCTACCTGAAACTATCTCACAGCTGATCCTCTTTTTCACCCATGCCTGCAGTAAAATCACACATGAACCCTTGCTTTTCTAGAAATACCACCATATATTTTACCCAAAGAGGTTCCCTGTTAGAATCATAGAATCATCAGGGTTGGAAGGGACCTCAAAGCTCATCCAATTCCAACCCCCCTGCCATGGGCAGGGACATCCCCCACTAGATCAGGCTGCTCAGAGCCCCGTCCAGCCTGGCCTTAAAAACTTCCAGGGATGGGGCTGCCACCCCCTCTCTGGGCAACCTGTGCCAGGGTCTTGTCACCCTCATGGTGAAGGTTCCAAAGGGCACTGCACCACTGGAAGCACCTACACTCTTGGCAGAGATCAGCCTCTTCATGCCTGGAAACTTTGCCACCTCTGCAGCAAAACACAGCACTTGAAGTCCGATAAAGGAATACAATGCTTACTACTAAATTCAATCCTCTTGGGACCCGAAGGAGCTTTTAGAGAGAGACAGAAAGCAATTAACATGTGGCTTCATAAAATGTCAACAACACCTTCCTTGTAGATACCCCACCCAAAGCTGCTGGAAGCCTGGATTTTATCACTAGGCTGAAGATGCTTCTCGGGGAAGGAAGAGAAAGCAGAGCCAGGGGGTTAAAGCTTCGGTCCCTGGAATCCAGTGATTGTGGGAGATTGTCAACTGCATTTTAAAAAAATAAGAAACATGAAAATATGTTTCTATCCTTTCTCAACGCATAGGAGAAAAAAAACCCCAAACCACAAAATTCTTAAAGGCACAAAACCTTAAGGTTGAGAATGAAACCCCATATCATGTTATTTATTTATAGACAATAACATCGACTCATGTTTTTTTAACTTTCTTTCATGATGCACACGATGTTTGAGTGCTTTACTCATGATCCTTATTTGCGGGAAGCGAGATAAGGACTTCTGCATCTGACCTTCCTTAGTTCAGCAGCTGATTTCTTTATGTCCTACAGAGATACCACAGGCATTTCTGCTCTGCCTGGTGTGCTGCTCTTCCTGGAGCCTCTGGGCCTGTGTGGCTGCTCGGGGAGATGCCGTACCACACAGGGGCTGCCGGGGCTGCGGAGAAAAGGCTCCGATAAGAAGTCCAACAAGCTCTCCTGCAGCCGCCCAACACCCACCCTAAGGAACTGTGTGCCTACCAGTAGTAGCTGGCTGCATCCAAAAGCAACGGCTGTGCTATGGAGACCCCTGCACCATGTAAATGGGGGATGGGGCAGAGATTCTGCTCCAGAGACCAGCATCACGCAGAAATACGGTCCCAATGCTTTCTGAAGTGGTGCAACCACAAGATGCTCTTGCCAGGAGGGCTTGGCTGCTAAACTCGAGCTTGGTGCCGTGCTTCTACGGCCATGGGACTCTTGCTTTGCAGGAGCTTGGCACGGGGCAGACGTGGCCAGTGTCACACATGCAGTGCAATGGATTCTCTGGGTACCACCACCAGTGATGCTGGGCACGAAAACAATCCTGACCTGGGTGAGGTCGCATCACCTCGGCATTATGGGCACGTCCTGCCATCACCCCCTGGTCGGTCATGGTGTATCTGTGCCTTTGGCAGAGCCCAGGGTCTCTGGGCTCACAGGCAACCAGCTCTGTGCTGCTGAGGCTGGTCCAGCACGCTGACACAACCCCCTCACTCTGGCTTTGCCAGCCCTTCTTGCTTCCCCTTCCAGCTAAAAAACAATTCGGAGGCCTCCGTTTAAAAGCCCTCCATGGGCCAGCTCTTGGCAATCCCTGCCTCCGCACTCCCCAGTGATCTGAGCACTGGGACCAGGCAGGAGGGACCCGAGGCCAGCACAGGCTTGGGGACATGCAGAGCAGAGCAGCCAGAACTGGTGCCGCAAACACAGTTTTGCGGTTTCCCTGAAAGACTATTCTTGCAAGGTGGGGGAGCTCAGGGAGTAGCAGAGCTGTGGGTATCTCAGCCCCAGCTGCACACCATGGGGTGTGCGTGGTCCAAGGGGGTCACTGGGCACCTTCCCACCCCTGTGTCCCCACCGTGGGCTCGCACCTCTCCTGCTAAACCACTGTTGCTGATGGCTACGGAGCAGGAGTGGGTCTCGCCTGCCAGCAGCAGTCTGGGCAAGCGTGGAAAGGGGAGTATGTGTTCAGTGCAAGCACTCCCAATTCAGAAACTATTGCAATTTAAAAAGAAATCAAATCAAATAAAAACCAGCCCATTCACACAAGCCACAGGAATGCAGCTTAGCTTCTTGGTGAAGCCGTAATTCGAAATAATTAAGAAAGGTAAATGAGAACAACCCCCTCCGGTCTCTGCAGCAAATACCAAGCAGACAATGAGCAGGGAGTGGATTTTGGAAGAAGAGGATTTCTTGGTTAGTTTTTTTGGGTGCTGACCTCGGGCTGATCTCTCACACCATGCCCGTGGTGCCAGATGGCAAGGTGGGCTAGTACCCTGACACAGGACCGACCACGTTGCCAGAGGGTCTGCTGGAGGCTTGGGATGTGAGCTAAGCTTTGCAGGGCAGTGGAAATCCTCGTGCTGTTTCCCCAGGGTGGCACTGTCACAAGTATTACAGCAACCAGTTGCTCCTGGTAGGGCATTTGAAGCCTGGCAGGAACACGGGGCAGGGTTGGTGACAAGAGGTTGTGCTGTGACCTCGGGC